GTCTTTTAATCTACGATTTTCACAACACTAATATTCTTAAATACTAATGTTTAATGTGTTTTTAATTATTTTTCAAGCCTCTTATGTTTGTTCAAATACATCATTTAGTAGTATGTCCCTATATGATTTATATCTATATGAAAACTTCGTAAAAAAAGTATTTTAATTTTAAAAATATTACTTAACAAAAAAAACTACCCTCTCTTTTTCTCTATATAATTATACAAGTTCTTCACTAGGAAAAGGTAATAAATTAACCATTAAAAGTCTAAAAATAATTTTAAGGTTAAGAAAGTTCAAAAGTATTTGAATATTTTATGTTTTCTTCGTAAATATCTTGAGAAACTTTAAGTGACAATCAAAATATCTTTTACATCTTAGATAAATATAGAATGTAATTCATCATTTAATGAAATTATGCTTCAAGTACTGTTTTAGTGCACATTATGGCACATAATTAAACTGTACTTAAACTAACTAAGATATATTAACAACAACGTTGTTCAGTGCGTATGAGTAACATTGATTTTAATTAAACATTAAAACGTAACGACGACAGAACTGTTAATTATAACGAATACTCTTATAACTCAAAACGTTTACTTTGTTCACTGTATTATTATAAGGATAATATTGTGTTGTACAAGGTGAAGCTTAATAACAAATATAAATATAAGTTTATTATTCATTTAATCGAACTTGATGATCTGTGTTTCATTTAATTATGTTACAAATGTCAGTATGACAACTTTTTGATGTTAATTTTACAAGGTAACAGTGGACAGAGTAAATTGGCAATTACGAACTTTAACGTAACTATGACTGCAATTTAAAATGTAAATGCTATTTCAGCCGGAAATGCGTGCAAAATTAAACTTTGCGCCACGTTTGCAGTTAAAGTGTTGCCAACTCACCGCTGCCAACAAAATGATTACTGTTCCCGGAAACATTATAGCAAATGAATCAATTTAAATGCACACGTGTACTGGTTTCTATGCAAAATAAACTGATAGTTACTGTTCTGGTCATATTTATACTACTTTACCTTTTCATCAATACTGTTGTTTTTTTAAAAGCCCTTTTTTAAGGATTTTTCACAGAACTTGTAAAACTTGCTTTTGCTTTAATTTTTTATAAAAGGTAAAAATCACTGCAATGCATACAAATCACATTTATTATTTGTGCATATCCTGAAGTTGAATATATTAATTTTTGATTGTTTTTTATTACTTCGCAACTATTTTATCCTTGTCAATATGCAGAAAATATATTCGAGCCTTCAAACGTATCGGCGAAAAGGATTTATTATTCGTTTCAAAGAGGAAATCGAATAATAATGAAATAAAAATTTATTCGCATATTAAAAAAAAAAATTCAAAAAGTTCGACATTGTCGAACTGTGAAAATTATAAAATTTTAATAATGTTATTAAGTTCATGTGATTTCATTTGCTTGCTGATTAAAACTACTGGGAAATTAAAAACGATAAAGAGATTAAGAGGATAAAACTTAGTACAGCAGCTTGTTCTCGTTAAAAATAAAAATATATTATTATAATAAAAACAATAAATATTTAAAACATATTGAGGGTAAAAACAAATAAATAATGTATAGTATTTCAAGTCAAGTTACATTAACCGTCAATAATAAGAAAAAATTCAGCAAAAAATTTTGAAAGAAACTTAATTTAAATTACAAATATTGGAGAATGGTTCGTAAATGAAGATATGTAAAAATTAACGAAATTCAAAAAATTTTGTAATGGCATCAAAAAATGTATTAGATTTATACGGCATCTTAATTATTTATTTTTGATGAAATAGTTTGTGGCATTAAGCACTTTCTTTCACTTGTTGTTTTAATCATTTATAGTGTACCACTAGCTTGAGAAAATATAGTGTGAAAGATATTTTAGTGATATTAAGTGATCAACTATAACAGATTACGTCAATTTTTTTTTGCCGAAAATGACGCATCTTACGATGAAAATAAACTATTTTAAAGTTGGAAGGGTTCGAAGAGAAATGACAAGCCAACAACAAAAATTTTTAGTTAATTTATTGAAATTTGGCGAACCACACAACGCTGTTTCCAGTATTGCCAAGTACTCTGCAACAATGGTCTTACGAAATATTCGAATAAGAGATTATATTGCTAAAATTTGCGTATCTGCCCTTTGACCGTAAGTGTGTCTAATCTTGAAGTAGATGTGAGCAATACTGACAGTATTTTCCTGTCAGTTTATTTTATTAAATAGCCTAATGACTTTGTAAGCTATTTAATAAAATAAACTGACAGAAAAATACTATTTTATTAAACCCGCAGGTGGAAAACGCGGTAGAGGACGTCCGCATCTTCGGTGGAAGGACCAGGTGACCAACGATTTGGGGGCGCTCGGTACTACCAACTGGCGTCAGAAGGCAACTAATCGGGCTGACTGGCGGAGGCTACTCGACGCGGCCAAGGACGACACACGTCTGTAATGGCCAACTAAGTCAAGTCAATGACTTTGTGATTTATATAAACATTAATAGGTTAAAATGTTAAACTTAATGTATGAGAATATTTAAATATGTTCAATGATGTATTGTTCTGTTAGGTTATTTTATTATAAAAAAATTCTCGGATTTGACATTTGGTTGTATTTGATTCTAACTTTTAAATATGTGAAGTGATAAATTTGTTCTCAATTAATTTTATTAAAAAAAGTTGCTTGTCTGCATTTTAATTGTATGCGATTCGGACCTTTATGTATGATCCACTGATGAATTTTTCTGTTAAGTGCAGTGTTGGTTAATTTTACCAAAACGATGAAGTATGTTCAGTGATGAATTCTAACATTACTTAATTTGATCAAATAGCTTAAATTTAATCTTTTATATAAACATTGACGGTTTCAAACTTTAGGTAATTGTGTGAGGATTCACTATAAGTTTCAATGTATTTTCTAATATCTGGAAATGGTTAATAGTTGCTTCTAGTGCTTAACATAAGCTCTGGATTTCTGTTGTAATTTTAATGTAATAATATATTTAAACAGTGATGTTTTATTGCTGATACTCATATTTTATTAGAACTTGGATAAAAAAATTAATAGAATGCTATTAAAAGAAATGATTAAAATTTTTTAGCCTTTTTTAGTATTAAAGTGTTTAGTGGACCATACATAGTGATTCTATAATAAATACATTGATTTTTTAATTGATTGATTGTCTTATAAGTGCTTCCTTTGTCATATGTTGAGTTGCATTCTTTATACATACTCTAATATTCCTAAATGCTAAGGTCTTAGTATATTTTTTTTTTGTTCCTTATCCTATTCCACTTCTTTAATATATGTTACGGTGCATTCCTTATACATACTCTAATATTATTAAATGCTAAGGGCTTAGTATATTCTCTTTTTATTCCGTTAGTATTATATTCTTATTCAACTCTTTTAACTTGTCAGTGTACTGGATTTAGTAAAACTTTCCTTCAGTACTACTGTCTCAAATATATTTCTCTCATAAGACAAAAGTTATTTTATGCTATATTGAATGCGTTGAAAGAAGCGTAAAACGCCTTTTAATTATTTATAAATTAGCAATATTAAACAATATCAGTATGCAATATATTTAAAAAAATAAATTTCATAGAGTCTTATAAATATAATATAAACTATAATCTTATAACTAATATTTGCATAACATCACTTGTTACCATTTTGGCTTCTTTTACCTAAGAGTTTCAATAGTGCAGCATCATAAATCTTCACTATCAACATATGTTCGACCCTTCTACTGATTAATGGTTTTATCCTCCCGGTCCAATACACCTGCAGTGTCGAACAGCGATATTTAAGAATAAATGCTGCGGATTCGCTATTTATTACGTATATGTGTTTTTGCTGGGATTTGCATTACCTGTTTCACTTTAAGCTAACAATTTTGCGGATTTGGCAGGTTGATTAATTGTCATGCCGTTGGCACCAACATTGGCCTTAGTAGTTGCAACAGCTTAAAGAGTAACGTCAATGGCAATGGCAACAAATCACGGAACCTATTTTTAATGGTCAACTGACATTTTCACAGCTGGCGGCTAATGTTTTGAACCTTTCACGTCGATATTCCAGTTAAATGATTGATACTTGCAAGGCAAAGTGACACCTTACTTTGTTGCCTTTTCTAAATTCTCCACTTAAATTGAAAAAAAAAAATGGTTATTACAAGGCAAGTACAAAAACAAAACATGTTAGCATAACGCTTATCCTTGATGTTAAAATGTCAAATCCTTTGAAAAGAGTTTATTATATATATATATATAAACAAAGTGAATTTAATTAAATTAGCAGTTTTTTCTTTTTAATTGCTTTTTTTACATTCACTGACGACCTTTTCACTTAAACAAATCACAAGAACTGAATTTTAAGTAACCTAACAACTCTTTTGGCAATTCGTGTTTCTTGCTCATTCCTTTTAAATAAACTATTGACATTTGAACTTTCTTTTAAGCAATTATTTTGTATTGTTAAATGTACAAACATTTGAAACTATACACACCGGAAATATGTATTTAATTTTATATTAATTTTTTCAACAAATTTGGTAAGCTCAAAAGCTTGCAAAATGCATTTTAGACGCTTGGCAAACAATAAAAACTTATGCCAGTTAAAACCTTTTATTTGCGCCTAAGAATGTGCGGTACCGGAAATGGTTAGTCCTTTGTTGGTTGTTCGTTGGTTGCCTCCATTGTGGTTGCATTAGTTTTACTGTATTTATTCTCTGCAATCATTCGAAGTGCATTCAACTTAGGTACACGTTTGGCAATGAACGAAATTTTTTCTACTAGAAAAGTTACCTGAATTCCTGAATAGCACTTCAGTGATTTAATGTTGCTGTTGAAGTTGTTGACTCTCAGCATAAATTGCCATTTAAGAATTGCACTTGCAGGCAAAATACCAAATTTGTTATTTATTTTTGAATTTTTTTTATAATATATATATCTCTTATTTATTTCAGATTAAAGATGTTACGCGCAACATTAAAAAAGCTGTTGTTGCTGCTTCTTTAGAGGAGATACGTTCAAAAGTAGCAGAGAAGTTTGAGAAGTCAGAACAGCCAACAATACATTTGGATTCCGATGGTACTGAAGTCGATGATGAAGAATATTTTCGTACTTTGGATGCTAATACTGAACTGATTGCAGTTTTTCCTGGCGAACATTGGGTAGATGTAAGTACATTTTTTATTTATTTGCTCTATTTAATATTATTTATTTTATTATTAAAGCTTTATAGAATTTTCAGTGAAATGCTATGAATTGATATTCAAGAGAAAACTTGTTAAAATGTGAGTTACAAATGTTTAATTTGGCAGATAAATATTGTAAGAAAGTAATCTTTCAAAAAAAGTTTATATTGTTGAAGTTTCGATAAACTTTTGATGACAGTTTTTGTTAGACTAATAATTGTTAAGTAATTATACCTCTACGGCTTACCTCTGGTGGAGCATCTTAAGCCATTCTACGGACATGGCCAAGCTAGTGAAAAAGTATTCTCCAGTCTCATAGATCAAGCGCGATTAGTACTCTCTTACTTGATCACTTCACTGTAGAAACGATCTATCTTCACGCCTTCTTCCTTTAACTTGAACACCGTTTGAAACATCTTTTTCGGTGGAGCATCTTCAGCATATAGCCAAGTAAGCGAGTATGTATTCTTTATTCAATTCTCTCAATTTGATCACTTTACCGGAGAAATAGTCTACCTCTAAGGTTTTTTCCTTTAATTACTGTTTGAAATAACTTTTTCGATGAAGCTTCTTCATCCATTCTAAAGATATAGCCAAGCCAGTGAATCCACTTTAAAGAATTATGAATCCAAAATTTATCTTGGATCCATTGTGCGTAGTCTGATCAAATAGAGTATGAAACACTGAATAATTTCTCAGTACTAAGCAACTTTTAATTAGATTTGTAAGAAATCTTTACATCCCCATTGCGGATCATCATCATATAAACAATCTTAAATGCACTTTTTCTACAGAACTACAAATCTGGATCATATTTATGAAATTGGTCATTATCGTTCGCATACTTCTTTAAATTAATATTTTTGCTCCTTTCCTAAAGTAGAAGTCTTTTAGCATTCTTATCCGCAAAATTGACATCCACTACATTCCTATCTGAAATGATTGAAGAAATATAGATTTGTTTATGTAAATGACTTAATCTCTCTCACTTTTTATGTAGAGTGACAGAGCATATCTTCAAAAAAAAAAAATTAAATGATATGTAGATAGATAGGTCTGATTGAATTTTTTGAAAATTCTTTAAGTGTGTATATTGTTTGTGTAGGAATTTGATGTGTAAAAATTAATTTAAATTTTATTTAAGCGAGATTAATAGACTTATATAGTACGATTAGTTTTCAAAATTAATAATGAATTATAGTTGCGATATTATTAAGCTTAAGATCGCTTAGCTTATGTTATAACCATTATCTACATTATATATATCACTCAATTACTTAGCTTAAGACTGAGTAAACGAGTTACTTAGTAATAGTCTAAGAAGCAACCATAAAATATATTTCGTGTACATTTATTATGTTGGCATTTTACTTTATTACTGATTTTTCCACTAGAGATCGTGAATAGCCCCATAATAATGTTATGTGTTATATATACCCGAATAAAAAGTACTGCGATAAAAAGTTTCATTTCTTATCTTCTACTGGTACATAGTAATATATATTGTATAGTTATATATATAATAATTATAGATTGTATAATAGTTTGTATTGAAAAATTATTTAAATTAAAATATATTTTCTCATATGTAATTGACCTTCATGAGTCGCAATATTCAATTTATTTAATAAACGGAATACATTTCATTATTTTCTACTAATTTATATTTTTATAAACTTTATTTAGTTTATATTTAACATTATTAGGAACAGTATGAAATGTTTTTGTTTATATGACAGGCTCAAATAGCTTTGTTTTTATTGCCATTGTCCTTTTGGCTATGCCGGAATATCCTGTCATTTCATGGAAAATTATTTATCAAAATAAATTTCAAATTAATTTCGGAAAAGCGTATGAGTAAATTATTTTGAAATGAAATGTTTTGCTTATGCAGCAGTAATAACTGTCAAGTTATATTCACGAATTATTAAATAACAAAACATTTAAACGAGTCTAAACTAATTAAAACTGCACTTAATTTATATGACATAATAGTTTTACTCATATAATGAAGCAAAACCGAAAATTATTTTAGATGAGATACTTTTTGTAGATTTCTTTCGTTTGCTTTCTAAAAAATAATTACGTTTTATTACTGTTTATTATAAAAAATCATACCGACAATATTTTTTTTTATATCCTGTGGCTTTGTGGGCGTTTATGAGAATTTTATATTGCAAAAATATAAAATGTAATTATACTCTCTTAACATACAATAAAACTTTATACGAATTGTCCTAAAATAGCACGAAGTAATCACAAAACTACGACGAAACTGTTGGGATATTGCAGATAACTGTGAATGGGATTTATTGTACTTTGGCTAAATTTACGACATTCAAAAAGTGCACAACAGCCAACAAAGTAATACGACGAACTTTAGGTTCCTTTATCGAAAGTATAAAGTATACAATAGATGATATATACATCCACTGCAGGCTCTCATATCATTAAAATGAAACTTTGACTTTGGCAATGCATTTTCATGGCAAGTGCGAGTAAATTGGAAAAGTATTGGTGTTAAAAACGGCATAATCCGTTTTTTTGACTTAAGTCCTTGTTTTGCTTCACTAGCACATATAATCTATACATAAAAATAGCATAAAGTCAAGCGTCAGTTTGCGTTGTGTTACTGAAATATTTGAGAAAACATATTTCGTAGTTGGCTGAGCTAAAATGTGCCTTCCAGGAACTAACTTTTCTGCACAATAGTTTTCTGTGTTGTGTTCTTTAGAAAGTTCGCTTTACAATGGAAAAGTTCTCATGATTTTTTTGTTGCCCTAATATTTTTGTATAGCGTAGATCATTGCTGATGCTTGCAGTTGCCAGCTGAGGGCAATAATTATGACATCCTTAAACTTGCCTATGAAAGGAACTTTTTTATTAAATAACTAACAAACTTAAATGTTTATTAAATAAACTTTTTGCTTTAATACATTTCGTAATGAAAGTTTTTTTTGTTCAAAACTAAAGTATTATGGTTATTGTCATTGTTTATATATTTCATATTTTATTTTCTTTAGAGAAACTCAATTAAAAAGTCTAACATTGTTTCCTCGATATTCGTAAATTATAAAGCTGCTTAAAAACAATTCTGTTATTTATTTTGGTTTATTTTATTTTTTGTTATATCTTATATACTATTATAGATTAGGTTATAATGAAAATTCTTAATGGTAGAAACGTGTCAGACACACAAGGGGATTTTTGCTAGTCACGTGCAAACTGGATATACCATTACACAGTACCTTAGGTATTTTTAAACCTCCTCTCTGTACAACAGAAAAAAAAAGGAAAAAACCGGTTAGGGTAGGTAATACCGGCGATACAAAAGATTCACTTCGGCCTATTCACCCATTGTGTTACTGTATAAGAGAAAACTCAGATCTTAAGATCTTCAAAAATACAGGCCCCTAGTATAGTAAAGCCACGTCTCGAATGCATTTGCCAAAACCAAACCAGATGTAAGGCTCTTTCATAGATTTTTCCACAACCGTGACAGGAATTGCACTGAGCAATAACTAACCAGATGTGAGGCACTTATATCATTCTCTTCACAACTGCGACAGGAATGATTAAAAAGGAATTTCAAACTTTCAATATAGTTTCCTAATCGACTATGATTTGAAACCACAAAACTAATATTTTTACAGGACATCTCAATGTGAGTATTGGATTTATTCTTAATAGAAAGAAATAACTATAAATAATAACTATTGATAATACGTCTGAAAATACTCGATGCTTTTGAGCAATTAAGCATACAACACAAAAAATCATATAATTGTAAACATATAATTAAATCGATATCCGCAAAATTTGTGAACCCTAAGACTGTATCTATTTTGTCATAAGAATAACACGATGATAATAGCCAATAACTTTCGGAACAGCGCTTCTAAAATGAAATAAAATACAAAAAACCACATCAAAGTGAACATCGCAGAACACTCAAAGGTATAAGCGTAAAAATAGTTAAGGTAAATACAATGTGAAACAAACATAGGAAAACACTATATAGTGCTACCAACCTGCAGCAATTTTTAAAATTATAAATGCGTCTATATTTAATACAGAATGTAGAGAGATATAGATTTTAATGACCAAATGAACTATGTATATTCCTAATCTATGCAATATAATGAATTAACTTAGCATTGGCTGTGTATCTTCTAGGTACACTTAGCATTGGCTTTATTTGCTTAACAAACATACTGCGAATATATCCACTATTCACTATTCACTAAAGGCAATACTAAATTTAACCTATTTTTTTTTTTTTTTAAATAGTGTTTGTGTAATTTTTCATTGTATTTTGAATTATGTTTTAAAAAAGAGTATAACAGAAAGTGGGTATACAATGATTTTATGATGGCTTTCGAGGAATAAAATACTCAAACAAAGCGAAAGAGCAGCAGACTTTTCGATCTTAGAGACAAACTCGGTTGTTCCACAGAACATTTAAAACAGAAAAAGTCCTTTTGTGATGGATTTCGAGACATGAAATACTCTAAAGCAATAAAAGAGCAGCAGTCATGTTCATCTTGAAGACAAATTCGTTATTCGACAAAATTTTTGGAATAAAATAAGACCAACAATGCCGGTTATAACTTAAATTTTAAAAGAAATCTTGTCTTTTAGTTAAATGTTTTTCTCCCACTTTTTATTAAATAACAAATTACATTAAAATTTGTTAATTTAAAATTTAATATTGTTAAAATACAAAACTAACGCTGGAATTATGTTACTATAAATGAATAATAAATTATGTTACTATAAATGAAACATAGGCCTTTAATGTGAGCTATGCTCTACACATAATTTTTGTCCTCATTCATATCTAAACATTTCATTTCAAATTTATAGAAAGTTGAATTTAAGTACATTGTATATGTATTAATTTTTTTGCAATATTTTTATACGCATCAAGTAACAAGTAACGGTAAGTAATAAATTTAAAGTTCATCAAAAATTGATAAGGCTCTCATCTTTCAAATACGCCTACTATAGACATAAAATTTTATTGCAAAATGTCATCCAACTTTTTGAATGTATGACAGAATATTTAAACTTAAACTCTTAACTTAAATATTTTAAAAGTTTTTCTTATTTTAGGCCTTTTTTACAGACCATCAAATGTTATTAAATTATACTTCAATGTCAAAAGTGGAAACAAATCATACTCAGCCTACCTTATTTTACTTCAAATTTTGAAATTCATTTTGATAAATATTTTACGGTATTTCTTGAGTGCTTGTCAAGTACAAATACAAAGCCTTCAAGAAAAGGTCAAAGGGGAATCTTAAATTATTTCTTCTACCACGTGTTTCATTATTAAATTAATTTTATAATAGTGAAGACTTTCCTTTTACTCTTTTCATTAATTGATTAATATTCAGTTAATTAAGTATTAAAATTAATGTATTAATGTAAATATTAATTATTATTTCATAAATATAAATTTGATTTCTATATAAAACATATAAACATTAAACACAATATAATATTTATCGCTTTTTTAATGCGTTGATGAACTAAGGTATTTATTAATAAAAAATTATTTATGTATGTAGCAAAAAAAAAAAAAGAAAAATTAATTAATGTTATAAAAATTTATTATTTATTAATTTTTTTTTTGTACTGGCGTTCATGTAATTTAATTGATGTTGATTTTACTTTAAAGTTTAATTTTTAATATACAAATTTATATATAAATTAATTTATTCGGTTTGTCAACATTTTTGATGCATTCTCTACCACGAAGTAGTCAAAATGAGTTCGGCAACATTTGTGTTTATTAGTTTTATTTAGTTTTTTCCCTTGTCGTATTGCTTTACGTTGGTAAAGCAACAATAATTACGGCAACATGTTTCTGACGGTTAGTAAAATTAAAGCGCTGAAGTCATAGACTGTCTTGACTTTTGAATTGTCTTTGTTCATGTTTTGCCATGAATAATTTATCCATGAATAATTAAATAAATATGTATATTATTGCCACTGAGAAAAAAATATTTATTCTATATGTTTTTGATAAACAGTTTGTAGTTAAACAAAAGTTTATTCACGCAACGCAGGTGTGTTTGTTTATGAGAAAATGAGCAACATTTTAAGTTACTGTTGTAAAATAAATGGTATGAAAGTTTATATTTAAAAAAATATTTATTTCATTAATTCTATTATATTAAAAAATATATTATTTTAAGGAAATGTATTTAAAGAAAAATTTAACAGTATTAAATTTTAATTTATATTAAGTTTTATTGAGCTTTATACTAAATTTTATAGTATTTTAAAATATTTTAAAATTTTTTATAGTATTTAAGTTTTATTGAGCTATATACTAAAAACATAAATTTAATTGTTACTTCTATTTATTTATCATCATGATACTAATGATGACTATCGACGGTAGTCATAAAATATTGATAATTTTATTGATAAAATAAAAAAAAATAACAATTAAAGTTGTGTATCTTTTTATTAAATATTTGGTATAAAATTCAAAAATATAGTAAAAAACAAAATTAATAGACCATTAACAACAATCAAATAATGAAACTAAATTTTTGTTACTAACAACTTAATACAAAATTGAAATACAACTATTAAATGAAATACAATACAAATTTTAATATTGTAATTAAATGGGAGAATTTCTTAAATTTTGGATCTAAATAAAATTAATTAAAATTATTTATTTGTAATAGTTCACCAGACGAACTATTTTATCTTTGCCTTGTATTTATTAAATTCTGATACAATCATTATTACATATTTATTAATTTCTGAGTTTAGTTTTTATAAGAAAAGCAAAAGGCGTAAATTTTGATTAAATTTAAGTATTCTTACTAACATTGCCATTTAATAAAATCATTTAATTATCCAACACCAATAATTATTCCACTGAAATCAAAAGACTTAAGCTATTATTCAGCTTAACTCATAGCACCATATTGCATATAATGGAAAAGTATGACAAAGAGAATACGTATTTCAGTATAATAACTTCACATTTAATATTTTGAAACTATGGTATTATTCCACTCTGCTTATCTTTTAGTCGCTGTACATAGTGGATATTTGTGTAATTTTAAAGATATTGTACATTTTACATTTATATCTTTAATTTTGGCATCAGTTTGTAAACGGTAGTTTCGAAATATTTTTGCCAATACCACTTTCATCAACATCAAAGCATATCGATAACCGATGCACATGCGGACACCCTTCGTGAATGGAACAAAAGCAAATGGATGACTTTTGAGTTGTGCATCAGGTCCAAAATGCAGATCTGGACGATAAGAGTGTGCTTCTGATCCCCAAATATCCTTATTGCGCTGCATATTAAAAATATCCATAACAATTTGTGTACCCTTAGGTATAACAACACCATTAGGTAGTTCAAAATCTGCCATTGCTCTGCGTATAACAACTGGAACTGGAGCAAATAAACGCATTGCTTCATTGATGACTGTTTCAGTATATGTCATACGTTGTAAATGCTCACTGGTCACCTCATGATAAATATTGTTTGTATCACTATTATCGGGAAATATTTCCACAAGCTCGGCGTATAATTTTTCTTGAGATTCTGGATGCATGGCTAAGCATAGGCATACTATATATAAGGCAGTAGAAGTGGTCTCAAAGGTCTGATTAGGTATATAAAAAAATAGTTAGAAATTGGTAAATGTTATATAAATTGTTGATTGTACTAACAGCTGCTATGGTGACATTCGCTTCATCACGTACATCTTTCCATGTAAATTGCCCCTGATTAACATTATTTCGCATTTGCTCTATAAAAATTTCTTTTTGTTTGCGTTTAACAAAAATATCATTGTCATTATTATCAGTATTGGCTGGCTCATCTGCAGACTTGTCTTGTGTCGTCATTAGATCTGATAGTAGCTAAATGAGTTTTATGAGTAGTAAATGTAATTTTCAGAAAAATTTAAAGTTGTTTTAGTTACACTTACGTTTTCAATGAACCCAAATAGCACATTCACAACTTTCTTTTGCTTTAAATATAATGAAGAATACTGATAAAGTATATCAGGATATAACCATGGTGATAGCATTCTTCTAGCACATACTTCAGTAAGTCTAGATGAGGATATTTTCTTTTAGGTAATGGTAGAATAAAAACAAACTTAAAATAAATTACATATTGTATGATTCAAATATAACAGCGGATCCATCATTGTGAAAGTCCATTTTCTTACCCATTGTAGTTTCTAAAATAAAACAAAAATCTAATATGAAAACAATGAAATTTAATAATATTTAATAAATTTCAATATTTATATAAAACCGGCATACATTAAAATATATAAATAATAAAATTATTGTATTTTGTAGACCAATATTTTTTTATTATAGCTGTGTATATGCGTTGTGTACTCGTACCCTGCCAAATTTGAAACTAAGAGTCAGTGTTAATTATCCAACTGACTTAAAGCCGAAATTGACTTGTATGTTTGAAGTTAGAATTTTGTTAATTTATTGTGAAAGTTTTATTGTCAAATTCACTTGCTTAAAGCATTAAGTAATTATAGTTATTGATAATTGTTAAATTTTAATATTCATCTAAAAACATTAGTTTTTATCGTCACAGTTTACATTAAAAATCAATTTCCCCTATTTTAATTATCTATCTATTTTCTACGGTTTGAATAATCTCTTGTTTGTGCATATCAAGTCCAATGGTAGTCTCTATCAGAGTGGTCAGTTAACTAATTCTTGCTTACTAAGATCTATTCCACATTCAACGAATATTTTTCGATTTGTATCTCAGCATTTATAAATCAGCATTTATGGAATTATATAGATCAGTTTCGAAACTTCTAAGATTCTAATATTTATATGGTATCACTATAATAAACGATTTGTTCGAATCTGTCACTCTTATTGATATTTTGTGTATGCTTACCCAGGACTTATATGTCTGTCATTTGAATTTGGATTATTAAAAATGATCTTAACTTCCTTAGCAAGAAAGCTGGTTGGATTTTTTAAATGTGTCATAGATTAAAGATTTCTTATGTTCTGTTAGTTTTAAAATAACTGTGCTATTGTTAAGAATTTGCGAAGTATTAAGAAGTATTAATGTCTTTCCATAGTACCTTACAATACTGAATACGTAGTCTAACTTAATTTTTCTATAGCAGATGTTGCTTATGATTATGTTTCCTTATATTGTAGAAAAAAATTATTTAATTATTTTTGGATATGTTGAAATGAACAAGATGTAGAACGAATACCATATACGGTAAATATATTTTTGAACAAATCCATTAGACGCACTGCCTAGTTATGTCGGTGTATCCATTTGTCCCTTTTCTGGTCAATAAACCAAGCCGTCAGTTCCTAACTAAATTTTTATAGAGATGTTTTTGATATTAAAGCTAAATAGGTTGAAGAATAGGTGAGAGAGTATGTATGTATAAAATATATGTTCAAGTGCAACCTGTGATACTTGCAGTGTAAACAAAGTTTTGAACAAATATTGACAATAATTCAATACAATTGAATTGACAATATTCAACACATTTAAAACAATTTTTCTTAAATTTATATATCATACTTACGACATGCAGCCTCCAGTACTGATTTTTTAAGCATTTCGTAGATTTCCAATTTAACTTTGCCATCTTGGCCTTCAGTTCCAAATTTCTTCAACAAAACATTGGCTTCAGTGTTGAATATTGGCAAGAAGTTGTCCAAAATTTGGCGACTGAATGCAGGATTTATTAAGCGACGGTGTTTATTCCAGCGAGGTGCTTAAGCAGATACCCATTAATAGAAGAAAAATAATTATATTACACGTTTACTAAAAAATACTTTTCTTTAATGTTTTTGTTGCGTTTTATTTATAGATTATATTATTGAGTGGGATCAAGCTATTAACCCCCTTTTTCTCTTGATACACTTTAAAGGTCCTTATCATTTTTCGAAATTCCGCAACTGTTACTGACGTACAACGTTACACAAAAGTTCATCACCGATATCATTTGATATAGTCAAAATTATCGTTTTAGTTTGGTAATTTTAAAACTTATATTTTTTATATTTTTGTCGTCATATTTAAAAATTTTTTAGAATTAATTTTTTCATAAGTGTTTTTGACTTACAACTTGAAGTAAACAGACCATCACCAATAGCACTTGACATAAATCGGTAAAAATCTCCCTTATTCGTACAGTGAGGTGAGTTGAATACTTTCTCCATTGTATTCGGATCATTAACATACAAAACACAGTTAATACCCATCCATGAAATAAAAGGGGTTTTGTATTTTTCCGATATCTTTTCCAAATAAGGTAATAGTGCTTTAAACATAGTTAGATATAAAAAATAAATTTATGATGTATTACACAAAACTAGATAGATCGATTGCTTACTTTCGGGGTTCATCATATTTAAACCCATACCGATTAAGGGTAAACTTGGTGGACCGGGAAGTTGCCAAGCAATTTTATAAAAACGCCTGCGTGACCAAAGAAAGTATATCCACAAACTAAATGCCACAATTCCAAGTATAGTAAGACTTATTGCCGACATTTCATATATGCAGTTTTAAAAACAATTATTAAATTTTAAAATTCAAATGAAATAAATATTTTAGATACGTAAATTTACGACTGACAACCACGAAATCTAAATTCAAACTGTAAACGCAAAATTTAAATTCATTCAAGTTTAGAAACAATTAAACTTTTTCTGAAAATTGTTAGATTTTAGTGAATCAGCTAGTTTTATTAATTTTATGCGAGGGTAGTAACATAAGTTATTAAAAATTGTTTTGTTATGTTGTAGTGGGTGTACATGTACAATTTATTCTGACAGTTACCTCGTTTTGGTAGAAAAGTAGCTTTAAAAGCATGTGCATATATTTTTATAGTATTTTTGACAACAAATATGACAACAACAACAATAACAACAATGACTTTAAGTGGATATATTAACAATTGTGGTTGGTACAAATAATTAATTTGGGATAATGTGACATTTTGTAAGCAACACGTTAGCGCCTTTTCACGTCAAAGCCAACTACGTTTATTTTCGAAAACACCTATTGAATAGCCCGCCGAGCTGTCAATTTGGTATTCAATGCTTGTGCCATGGCCGAACACAAATGGCATGAAGAAATCTGTAATTTTGTATTTGTATTCGAAGAGCGCATCCAACAAAAGTAAACAAAGTCATAAGTAAGAAGATACGTTACCGTGTCTTCTGATATTTGCTTCATATGAAATATTTTTAGGGTTCCTTAACTGATGAACAAAGTACGTCATGAATTCATTAAAATTGTTAAGTAATTACAATAATTACATAAAAATAATAATTTTATTAAGTAAATACTGAACACGTGTTTATGAATAAATTTAAAATGTTTTTTTTTTTTTTAATAATAAAATTTATTTATTTAAAATTTTTATTTTACTTTTCTTAAGTGTTCTTAATATGTCATGAACCTTAAGTTTTAAGTGCACTGTTATTTAACTGCACACGAACTTCGTACAGTAGTTTGTAGTAGTTTGGAAGTACTTAACATACGCACTTTACAGAACTTACATATTCTGTTAACGAATTCTGTAACAAATTTTAAACAAAATTTGTTAGAAATTATTATGAGACCCTAAGTGTAAATGGAATTTTGTGTCTTACAACTTGAAAAGCAAACCGACTTATTATCACTTTAGTTGTTTGATTTATTTATGTTCGTGTAAATTACATATTCTTCTCTTCAGATACATATATTTGTAGTAACTTTTGTTGACTTTTACTTAGTATTGAATGATTAATTACACAATTGCAAAAGCTTTGTTTATTAGATTTTGCTTGATATTGGTAAGATTTATTTTGTTAGATTTTTGTTCATTTGGTGTGAACAAAACATTGAAAAGCTGTTACATATTATTCGTTCATTTAACCGTTACATAGTTCCCACGCTAATTAATTTAATATTCGTAGGTGCAAAGAACATAGCTAAACATCATTAGGAAATAATAATTAAAATGATTAAGTTACAATAAAAGAGTGAGCATTATAATTAATATATAGGTAAAATAAATTAACGTATATTTTAAAAGCATGAAAGTGTTTTAATTCGTTATTATTTTATATTCTTATATAGTAAGTGATATGAAAAGGCATTCTTTATTAGAAAAATTGAATACTTATTTACATGAGTAAATTCAGCTTACAATTAATATATGATTAGATACGCGGAAGATTAGTTAGTTAGATTAGATATTTCAATATGGGACACAATAAAATAGCTAGTCGAATTTGGTACATATTCTTGACTAAATTGTTTCGAAACGGGGGTACATAATTAATTAAATTAATTAATTAATTAATTTAATTAATATAATTAATCATTGTTGTTAAATAGAAAAGAATATAGTAAAAATAAATACTTACCAATATATATGAAGATGAACTGTTCTAAGCGACATGATCTGATATTATTTGGTACTATAAATTGAGTCACAGTAAGGTAACAAATTTAACTTCATGCGATTTCATAGAATTCTAACCTCAATATATGAAATATTTTATTTATTTAAACATTAAACGTTTTATTTTACTACAAAGAGAGTTTTTTCAAATTTTTGTTAATATTTTTAATGATATTTCCTATGTTTTATGTATTTTTATGTATTTTATTGACATTAATAAACAAAAAAATTTATCATAATTTCTGAAAATAATTTCTTTTTCATATTTACGAGACAAATATATATCAATCATACTGATGTCGTAATTAATTTAACGTCTTACGGTACAAATATATAACAGTCATACTGATGCCTTCTTTAATTTAACGTCTAATACAATTTATCTCCTATTTTATGGCCTATTTCACATAATCTAATATTGATTTATTCACGATTGAATGTCATTTGCATTAATTGACACTAACATAAAGATTATTTAATAATACAGTGTTTTATAGTTTTTAAATACTATTTAGTGAATTGTTATTTATGCACAAAAGTTCTCTGATGATACAGTGTATTAAATATTATGTAAATAAAATAATTGTTGCTATTAATTATTTATTTAAATTAGTTTTATATCCTAAATTATGTCAATTAGTTATTCCCTCAAGCTATTGATTTAAAAATTATATTGAATTCAGTATTATTATACAAAACAATTTCATAAATTAATTCGATTAGTTTGTTTAAGCGTTTGCTTTATTTTGACAAGTGTACACTTGAAGTACAATAGATTCGGGCATAATTATGTTCCTTTTGTTTTTGTGTGGCAAACCTATTAAGCCTTCAAGCTTATTGCTCAAAGCTTTGTCGATATGAAAATTTTATTTAAAATTGACCTATTATAATTAAAAAATACCTAAAGAGGTTAAATATATATTTTAACAATATTTTCCATCTAACTTAAAACTTATTATTAAATTTGAATATTGAATGCCACAACTGACAGCAAACTTTGAAACACTAATTATATTTAAGTGTCCAGGCGTTGAAACTGTCGAACCTTTAATGGTGAGGCAAAATGGACAAAACTTTTGCTAAGTGACAGATGAAGTTTGGTTTTTGCGGAATATATTTTGCAAAAATGAAATTGTTTAATATTTACATTGTTCTTTTTTTTACATAGCCTTTATTTTCTTTTCCGTAATGTAATAATGTGAATAAAGTAAATATTTACTACTCTTGTGGTACATATACGTAATACATTTATCATATACTTCAGAGTTCAAGGCTGACAGTCCCTAATTTTAGGATGCAGCATTTATCATTAAAGCAAATTGCTATAATTATTTGATGAAATAATTTAAATATAAATGAACACGATTCGTGGGTTTGTTTAAAGGAATATGTCTCTTAGGTATTGCATAAAATTATTTCATTGAACCCTTTTTAAATCTCTACGGATTAAATAAAGTCTTTGCATTTTGCTCAATTTAATGTTTAAAATTTTGTTTTGGTACATAATAAACATTAAAGTACAGAAAGTACTTTTTATATACTTTTGTGTATTAAAGTTAAATATACAATTTTAATAAATAAAACTTTTTAATGTACGCTGCTGTATCTTTTATTTATGGAAACTCATGGAGACACAAACAATGAATAAAATCTCATCAATTTCTTTTCCCACAACTATTTACTCCTAATTTTGCATTTGAATAGTTTTTCAATTACCCATATTTCTAAATAGGAAAATTCGACAAACCATTTCTAGTTATAGCAGGTTGTCATCTATTTTTTCTTTTTTAAATTAATAGAATTAACAGCAAATATTTGGTATTCCCAACTCAATGCAATGATTTACTAGTTCTATCCAATAAGCAAAAACTTTTGTCTTTAGCTTACCACAAAACTTCCTTAGCAATGTTTTCTAGGCAAGGCTAGGATTAATTTTAAAAACTCGAGACTGTTCAGATAACTTATTCGGATGAGAATTCTGTTCAAAAGTTTCTGTCTTTAATCTCTATAATCTTGGGCCACTCAACACAAATTTGTTAACAACTGAAAGAATCTCATACCTGACTGGGTGAACATGAACAAAGAAACACTTTATCATAACAAAAAATCACTTGGTTATAATAGATTGAAAGGTACTGAAACAGTTGACATCCTTGCAAGAGACCCAAACCTGTAAATGTTTAAACTTAAATTCACCACTCGTTTCTTACTAGAAACATATTATCTTATTAGATATGCTTCTAGTATCTATCGTCTTTTAAATATGAAATTAAAGCCATTGGTAGTTGTAAAATACAAAGTAATATATTTGCCCATGTCTAGAGATTGCTTAAAAGCACGTCCGCTATTTTCATATGTCTTTGAAAGATTAAAACTCTGAAACTCTGATTCAAAACCGTGCACCTAGAGATACTATCAGGTATATTAATAGTTTTAAATGGTCTAGGTTGCTCAAAAAACTATTTCATGAGATAGTATAATGGTTCTGTTAGATTTTAAGTGGTGATGTTCGCAACAAGAGGCGCCTTTTGAATCTAACCTAACCTTAGTATTGCAAATCTTTCACTAATAAAATTAGGTAATACTAATATGATTCCATAATAATAATAAGATGAATATTCCATTTTGCGTATAAATAATGTATTGAAATATCTTGAAATAAATATTTTTAAAAATTGCAACTTAAGTGCTAGTTACTTCTATTAAATTATTTTTATGTATTTATATTCATTTCTTTTTAATATAATAATAATAAATATTTTTTTCATATTTTCAGCCGACTCATTATGTGACTATCACTACTCAACGTGAAAATGGTGATACTACGGATGCAGCAGCGGAGGCAGCACGCATTAAGCAGCTTGTCGGTCAATTACAAAATAATCTATGTAATGTCTCTGCTATAAGTGATCCTGACTTGGATTCGCTCTCTAATATGGATCCTAATTCATTGGTTGATATAACTGGCAAAGATTTCATGGAACAGTTAAAGGATTCAGGCAGGTTAGGGGGAGAGGCCCAGATGTGGTGGTTAACTCCCCGCACCTCATCTTTGTCTCGATGTTTAATTTTTTATTCTTTATTCCGTTCATGCTTAAATAATTTTAACAAATTTAAAAATATAATATTAAGGTTTTGCTTAATATATTGCTTACAATTTATATTTAGTAAAGTAGTTATTATATTGAACTTTATTTTATTTTTAAATTTTTTATTATTTTACATTTACTAATTTATTTGTAGTTAATATTTTTGCATTAATTAAAAATTATTTTATTGCTTTGCATGAGAAAGCAAATATTATTATTGCGTTTTCCCCTTCACAACACAAAGTTCAAATGCTCGGAATAAGAGAACTGAACCCATTTGCTGGTTGTCAATCATTGAACCTCTTTGCATTCGATGCAATTTAAAACAATTGAGGCAGTAAATTGGATTTGGCCAATTTTATGATTTATGCCTTTATTATGGCAAGGTAATGAACTAACTTTTGTTATCATTCGTAGGCGGAATTCAAAATTTCAATTCACTTCAAGTTATGAGCTTGCAAAGCATTATGATTAATTTGTGGTTTACAGTGGAACAAAATTGTTATTCAGCAAACAAATTTTTTGAAAACATTGTTAGTACTAATTAAAAAAATGCTTTAAATCGGTAAGTACTATTAAGTGTTTTTCACAAGTTGAGATTGGTCGAAGGGATTATTTAAACCTTTAATCCAATTAGTGTTTTGGCACCGGTTTATTTCTACTTGTTTGATTTCAAATGGATGTTTGTGTAAACAACTCGGTTTCTGTATGATTTAGGAACCTATTCGTTTTGTGGTAGTTTCTTGAGATTATAGAGGAACAGTTTACTCAAAGTAGCCTTTTGTGCTTTCCGAAGAGACATTTATTGTGTGGAGACACGAAAAATGTCGTTAGTTAGAAGTAAAAGGTTTTCTTTACTTCTGGCTAGTTGGTGCTTTATCTATTCTAAAGAGGAGGGCATGTCCATATATAAAATGTTTTTTTTTTCTGCTGGCTGGGGTTGTAACCACGGTTGCCACTTATGGTACTTTAGTACCAAAATTGGTACTTTTTTTTCCGTTTGGTACTCTGGTACTTATGTTCAAAAAATGGTACATTTTCGGCGACCCAACTTTATTGTGGATATTGTATTGTTTTATACTTTTTGTACATTTATATAAATTGTATTTTCTTATAAAAAGACAATAGAAAAATTTTGGACCTTTTTTTACAGAAATGGTACCTTTTTAAACCAATTTTGGTACAGAAAAAAATTTTCAAGTGGCAACCGTGGTTGTAACTATAAATATTGTAAGTATGTTAACTTCGTTCATCTGTTCTTCAATAGGTCAGAAGCCTTTAATGACCACTGTCGGGAGACATTCAATCCTGTGTTGTTTTTTAGCGATAATATTTGCATTAGATTGTTTTGGAATATAATGCTTTCTTTGTTTAACATGTTGCAAAACACTTTCAACTAGAATCTATAATTTGAAGGTTTTCGATTTTAAATAGAGAAAAAATTTTAAATGGAGTAAAACAAAGTAGACACAGAAAATTATAAGTAGTGATATTGATTTTGCTAAATTTAAGTAGAAGCCAAATTCATATTACGATAAACATGATAAGCTATAAAATTAATTATCAATTAAATTTACTATTTCAGTTCATATATAAATATTTTGGCTTAATTAATTTATAATAAAACCGTGACTAGCGTTAAAGAATCTTAATTAATTATACATTGAACGCATGCATTGTCCATTAAAAGTTCACAGATATGTTCGCTGGTTTCTTAGATTCAGCAAAAGCTGAATCGGTTATAAATTTTACCTCCTGTTTATGATACTACATTTATTTTACTAACGTAAAGCTCTACCACATTGTCTTCAGCTATTCATTTATACTGTTATCCAGCAAGTTATAAATCATAGTACTTGTGCATTTTTTTTGTAGCTTGTAAGCACTCCCTATCGCACTCATGCATACACCATTAACGAATTTCTTATCTGTCTTCAATCTGCCAGTACTTTGAGTTCAGCAGTATCATTGTGTGGAGTATTTATTGTTAAAGGTATAGTAAGCAAGATATGACTAAAATATCCCATAATCACGGTTGCCACTTGAAAATTTTTTTCTGTACCAAAATTGGTTTAAAAAGGTACCATTTCTGTAAAAAAAGGTCCAAAATTTTTTTGGACCTTTTTGTTTTCTCGTTCTGTGTTTTTCATAGTGTTATAAATGAACAAAATATAAAATAGTGTAAAGTTGCATTTATAAAAAAAATTAATTGGAAATATCCACAATAAAATTGGGTCGTCAAAAATGTACCATTTCTTGAACATGAGTACCAAACGAAAAAAATAAAAAAAAAAGTATCAATTTTGGTACTAAAGTACCATAAGTGGCAACCGTGCCCATAATATCTTAAAGACGTCTACTAACATCTATTTGTAGTTTGTTTTGTATTGCTTCGGTTCTAATCCAAGTTTAACATAAGTAAAGAAGTACTGAGAGTATATTTCCCCGAAAGATATGAATTTTCATATCGTTAATATTAGAACTGCTAACTCTAACAGTAAATGTGCTTGTCGTTTTTTGAAATCTTATTATTAAGAAAACCTAATATATGTTATAAATAATATATGTCATGAATAAACAGGAAGAATATTACAGCAATTTGGGGGTTTCTTAAGTAACATTATAAAAAAAAATTAAAAAAACGACAGCACCTTTTATTTTTGGAGTTAGCAGTTCCAATATTAACAATACGAAAATCCATTTAAATCCATTAATTAATTACAACCATATAAAAATAGTTTTCTTATTTAATTAAGAAAATAACCACCATTGTTACATAATTATTTGATTCAATTAAAATATTATATATTAAGTATATCACAAAAAACTTCTACTTATCTGAAAACCACGAAAGCGATAACTTACACCACCTAGTATTAATACTTTATATTAATATTTATATTAAAATTTAACAATTAAACAATAGTATAAATGTTTTTTTATTGAAACTTAAAATAGAACATAGTGAGAATTATTTCTCGTATGTTGAAAATTTTTGCTATAAAGTGCTTAACATAGTCATATATATATACATATATATATATAAATCTGTTAAATATTATTTTCAATTTATATATCGTATGTTATTACTATGATATATTATTATTATCATTAATTATTGAGAATTTATAATTCTTATTATGTTTTATTTTGAGTCTTTATAATACTTATACCATTATCTATTTCCAGTGTTGAATTTTAATATATATTTATTGATAATAAGTGGTTTGAGCTATCACTTTGCTAGTCACCCAGTGGGGAGTTTTGGGATATACTTAATATTTTAATTGAATGAAATAATGGCAAATTATATTCTAAATAAAATAATTGAGCAAAAAGTCCAAAGTAAAAAGTATTTACAAAAATATTTTTGTAAATGACTTGCTTGTGTTGGAATGCGACTCTATATCGGCAATAGATAAATTTAAGCATTCAAATTATTCGATAACTTTTAGTGCAAATTTATAAAGTTTGTATAAACGATTTTTTTATAAAAGAATAGACACAACTTATAAAGTAGATAAATTTATACGTTTATAAGTTTTAAATGACATTTATTAGTTTAGATGAGTTCCCTTAGAGTGTATAAGAGTTATGACATAGCAAGGTGAAATTTGTATAAATCTACTTATGTAATACTATATTTATATATATTATTTCCGTCAACTTTCTCTTAAGTAGAACGTTTTTTAATTCAGCATTATTATGTTGAGGTTAGTTGAGTCAGTACACTTGATCCCTTTTACTCTCTATTAACTGCGCGGTTTCTTCATAAAGAGAGAGGCTACGCCTTGACTGGATAATAATTTGTCATTTTATCAGACTAAACAATAATTGATCTTAGGACTGCATACCTCCCAGAGGAGCTTGTAACCATTTTGAGATTCAATAACGCGCTATTGATAAGCCTACCAAGTTTCGTAAATAATTTCAGGGCTCTGTCCTTTATGTTATCAAAAAATGATCGGATCAATCTTGAGGTTTTTGAGGACGTCAATCGTCCTAATGTATCATGGTACCTTGAAAAGTCTTCTTGAGGTTTTTGAGGATGTCAATCGTCCTAATGTATCATGGTACCTTGAAAAGCCTTCTTAGAGCCTGGCTTTGTGCAATTTCTACCTGGCGAAAGCATAATTTATCTCCCACGTAATCCAGACGTTTATGACGGATCAAAGTGCTTAATGTATTCCGGATTATACTTCTTAGTAGTTATTTTTCTTCTAATTGTAAACGACTCAAAATTGTTGATAAGATGTAGAACTATACACTTTTAGTAAGTATAGTTTCTTGTTAATGTTTTATTAATTATATATATGCCATTACTTTTCATTACCATCTAGATGTAAATTTTATTAAAGAAATTAAGCATATTTTCATATCCTTTTTATAGTACAGTAGGTTTGTCAAAATATTTGTATGGTGATATGGGAAACGTTGCACACCCTATAAAATATATATATTTGTTACAGGTTCGTTTATCTAAATTCTATCAGACCAATCCGTCAGTTTAACTCAAACTAATCCTTAGTCTTAAAGCTATTTGGGAGTGGACTCATTCTACGTATGTATTCAGTTTTCTTCTGAAATGTTTTGGTCTTTTGAAATCAAGCATATATTCATAATCGGGGTGTTGAAAATTATTATATGTATATAAAAAAACTATTTTATTAGATTTATTATAATTTATTACTGTTTATTGTTTAAACAATAAAATGTTTAATAACTGTTGTATTACATATAAATTAGTAGTCAAACAAGTTGTGAAACAGAATTGTATGACGCAAATGAACTAAATGCACTGCAGGGACTCAATTAATCATTGGCTTATGAAAATTTTGCTGTTGAACATTACTTGCTCCCTAATTTGAATTCATGTCCATCATGTAAAATGACTCATCAAAAGCGCAAACTACTTACTAAACTAATTAATGCATTTGCACATTTTGGTGCGAATTAATATGCAGAGATGAGGGTCCGTTCTTAACATCCGTAGTACATGGTACATAGTACGTGGTACGTGGCACGTGGCACTTTGTACATCGTCATGCCACTGAAAATACATTTGATTTGATTAAGTGCGATGAGAGTCTATTTAAATGCATCTGAATTTGTTATCCGATACGTATGTAATTCGCTTAAAAACTGTACTGTGTAGTCCGATTTATAACTTTAAATATTTATTTTAAAAGGTGGCAACATCGGAACAGTAGAGTCAAAAGCAGCCATTTTGTAAATTTGTATACATGAAGGACATTTTACAGTAAATGAAATTTAAAGGTTGAAACGGTCAACACGTTACATTAAACATTATTCTTTATGATAAAATTTTTATCAAGCATGGGTATTAATTTTGGTCTTGTGTATCTTTTTTAAGCTATTGAAATGTTCATAAATTTAAATCAATATTTTAAATCGTTTTTAATCGGTATTGACATTTCTTACAGACTGTTTTTTTTAGATTTTATGATGAATAAAACTAATAAATTTTTTAAATTATATTATTAAACTTTTATATCTCTTATTCACCTTATGATTCATTGATATTCTCCAATATCTTCAGGGGTAGTCAAACATATTATAGGAATAGAAACAATATCAGCTTTCATTGAAAATTTATATATGTATATATAATTTTTAATTTTTAATTCTTTTGTTCGCTACACTCCTATTTAGTAGTGCTATATCACATATACATTCAATATTCTTAACACACAGTTTGAAAAGAAGCTATATCTGATAGAGTATCTAAAAGCCGTTAACATCAAAGTATGACTGTATTAATGTTTATTGAAAATTTAAGCTAAGCTCTTTTATCGAACAGATTTTTTATTTATTTAAACTTAGAACCGAAAGTGATATATTGTGATATATTGAGACCCATGAGATATATAGTTTTGTGCTTGCAAATAATCTGTTAAGTAATCAGATTAAGGCCATTAAAAAACAAAATAATAACTCTTGTTTAAAGATCTTAAACTCTTTTGGTTCAATGAAAGTCTAATTATTCAAATTTTGTGCTCAGTGTCGATCAACATTAGTTTTGAAGAAAAATAATTTTCAAATATGTTTATTAAGTTATATTAATAATCGGCAAATGGTGAAGGGATCACAACGTTTTTAAGCATAATATAAAATTTTTTTTTAATTTTGTTAAGTGCATTCAAATGTAAATACAATAGTTCATTAATTAATTCATTTTTTTCTTGAAATTTGCTTAGCTGTTTGCTATATATAATTTTGTGCAAAAATATAATATTTTATTTATAATTATGTTCCAATATGTCCCTTTATAATATAAATTTTTTTAATTTAGTTAAGTGAGTTCAAATGTAAACGTAATAATTGATTATTTCATTATGTTTTGCTAACAATTTGCTTGACTGTGTGTTATATATAATTATGTTTAAAAATATTTCATTTTAATTATAATTGTGCTTTAATAGTTAATTTTTTCTTTTTCTCCATTTCACATTGTTCAATATTCACATTTTATTTGCGAAAAATCATTGTCTCAACTCCAGACCATTGTGTGCAAAGCGAAACGCTCAGGACCGAATTAACCTGTTAAAGCTATTAAAGGATGGCGCCATTTTTTGTTCAGAACGTTATCCGGAGGATGCTGAAGCCATAGATATGGAGATAAGCAGGCAACTAAATATTGAAACAACAACAACAAACATAACTAAAACTATAAATATCAAGACAATCGAACAAGTGCAAAATGGTGCAGCAACAATGTCCGCAGATGAAGAGATCACAATCGTGAATAATATCTCCGGTTCCGATGTTGCTGCAACACAACAAACTACAAACACAAATACCACCACAACAACCAAAATCAACGACATATGACTACCAATTTTTAGCAGTATTACTTGAAATTTGGATAGCGTGTGTAAGGAGAAGAGTTAAAAAAGATTGATGACATCGTAAACAGGGTAAAGAATTAGTAAGATTACAGAGAGATAGAGTGTGTAAACCAACTATTTGGCAAGTTGAAAAAAAAAATAAATACAGAAATAAATTGTTTTTTGTCTACTAGAAATATTTTAAATAAATTTTTAAATTTAACACACAAACACACTCCCACGTCAAATTGTCACTAATAAGCCCATGAATTTAATAGAAAATAATTAATTTTATTAAAATTGCAAAAAAAAAATAAATTTACAAACAAATAAATTTGTTTAATTAAAGGAACGAAACTTTTTAAAGTAATTTTAGCAGGATTAAAAATCGTAACCGAAATGTTAACGTTTAATAATAATAATATAATAAAATATTGATGATAATTATACGAGTATATCTATACATACTGTATGTACGTACATATGCAAATTTTACACACAAACCATTTACAGTTTATAAAATAAATATTTAATATTATAATAATTAAAAAAAGCAAGCGTAAGTTTTTGAAGGAAAAATATATAAATAAAATAAATGAAATTAAAAGTGAAATAAACGTCTTAGGCACTATGTATGTGCATATTAATTTCTAATAGAAGGGCCTTTGGTCCATTAAGTGTCTGTAAACGAGAGTTAACGTTAAAATTGAAACCAAAAACACTGAAATAAGAATAGTTGTTAAGTAAAACTTAAACCGAGTAAAAATATAAAATCGAAAACTTTAAAATTTATAAAAAATAATAAATATGAAATTCACACGTACACACAAAATATATACGAAAATCATACATAAATCATTAAAAAAATTTTAGGTGTTAAATTAATTATTTAAAATAAAATTATTTTCAAATTTGTTGAGTTTATATATTATTTTATCTTCAGTTCGTTAAGCAAATTAAACAATTTTTAATTTATTTACTTTGTTTATTCATATGAAAGAAAATCTTTCAACTGCTGAGCCCTTAAGCCATAAATAAATAGTTTCAGTTTTCTAAGTTGTATTTTAATAAGAAAATGTGTACTGGCTTAGCACTTGAGTTGTATTTTGTCAAGGATAATATTTTATTAAATTTTTTTTTTTAATTAAAACTTCCAAAGTCTATACTATAAATATAATTTGAAATATTATCTAAATAAGTGAAAGAAATTTAAATTCTTCATTGCCGTTGAAATTATTAACAAGGTTTTCAAGTGCATATTCGTGAGTCGAAGAAGTAGAAAAGAAGAAGAAGAAGAAGAAGAAGAAGAAGAAGAAGAAAAAGAAGAAGAAGATACAGGTAGAAGAAGAAGAAGAAAAAAGGAGAATTTGGAGCAGATTTCGGTTAAAATCGTTACGGTTTTGAAGCAGTTCACATTCCTGGTTATTAGAGTAATTTTTTTTAAACAGTTTAATATATACAATTATATTCGTAACATATCTTAACTTATTTCCAAAACGATTGCTATATACACAAATGTACATAAATAATCACATTAGTTTCAAAGAAACACAGAATCTGTATAAAGTAAACGCTCAATGTTATGAATATCCAAACTAACGAATGTCCAATTTAAAGAATAGAGATTTGTGATAGATTATTCTATTTTTCAAATCCACAACGGTTCGGTTCATGCACCATAAGTGCAAGGTTCCGGTTCCAAACGGCAGTTCAGAATCCTTTCTGATTGATTATTCTACTTTTCAAATCCACAACGGTATAGTTCACGCACCACAAGTGGAAGGTTGCGGTTTAAAACGGCAGTTCACAATCGTTTTAATTATCAGTAACCTTTCTTGTTTTGTAATATGCAATGTTAAATGATTATTCTAATCAAAAGTCGGAGGTTTTTGGTCGAAACGGTGCAGTTCAGAACCAGTTCATAACCTTGTTTATTAGGATTATGTTTTATTTCTAATATGTAATATTAAATAGACTATAAATTATTATTATCATACTCTGAATGATGATCTTTGCTTATACGAAAAAAATTGGTCGTAAAATGAATTGTACGTTTACAATCAAATTGTTTGTATGGGTAGGAACACAGAATCTGTATAAGGTAGATACCTACTGTGACATATCTCCAATTTAACAAACTGTATAATTTAACGTACTAAATACTACCAATATTCTATATAACGTATAATGCACTCTTTATATTGAAAATTTAATGATTTCGTAAACGATTATGAAAGATATCTCTCAAGGTAAAATAATACCTATAACATTCTATAAAAATGCTACAGAATGCTTAAAGCTTCTTACAGTGTGGGTTATGTTTTATTAAAATTATAATTTATAATTGTATACAAAAAGAAGTATATTAAAAATCGGGACAGATAGTTTCTTCTAACAGATCTAAAATTAATAAAAATAATAACTGTACTACTGAAAGTTATATTCAATTGTTTATATATTCATTCGATTAAAAGAATTTGTTTAAGAGAACTTCAAGAACAACTGGTTCGGCTGATAAAGATATAATTTTTGGAAGATATTTTAGGTATACACATTTTTATAATATATCAGAAGTGCTACTTAATTGTTCTAAATTAATGTAACTTATTAATATGAGTAAGTAAGGTAACAATCATTTACTTCGTCCTTTTTTTCTCAGCCGTTTGTTGGTACCAAGCAAGTTGTAATAAATATGGCTCGGTTCTTAAAGGTGTTTGCGTTGTATAGGTTTGCTATCCAGGAAGTTATGGATGTACTTTATTTTTTTTAATATACTATTGAGTTTTAATAATCAGTAAGTATAATATTATTTTTTTTTGCATTTTAAATATATAATACATATGTGTATTAGTATATTTTAGTGATTTGGATTATTTTAAATAAATTTTACAGCATTTTTAAACATAAATAATAATTTATTAGAATTTATTAATCATTTATATTTACAGACTTTTTGCTATTTTTTCACCATTTTTTTATTATTTACAAAAGATTGCTTAGATTGAATTAAAATAAAAACATTTATGATTCTGTGCCAAATTGACTGCAAGAATTAGTAGAAACTTATTTGCAGAAATTATAACGAGAAAATGCTTTCAGCTAAATTGGCAAGAGTTCAATATTAAATCTCAGCTATTTGCAGTTGAGTTAATGACTTATTAGCAATAGTGGTGTTGACAATCTCGAGTAACGAACTGGGTAATCGAGGTATATAGTTATTATTATATATCGAACCAAAATCTTCTATCATTTGCATGTCTGATTCATGCACGACACATTGAGTCATGCATGCCTACGGACGAAAAAGTCTCCACATTCTCAGCTCAAAATCCTGAAAGTCCCTGCAGTACGACCAGTTAAAGTATTCCTTCACAGGGTAGGTAAGATAAGCACTTAGCGTGCTTTTACTCCGATTGCGTACTATTTCGTTCGCTTTAACAATGTTTATTGTTCTAAAGATATGCACTTGTAAAGGCTTCATTCTTTAATGCTTGCTAACATCTGCATTACTATAATAAAAGGGCTGCGAATCTTATATAGTCTCTAATTATATGGTCAGAACTCTCAATTTTATCTGGATAAATACGGGTTACTTACCAGCCTGCATCGGTATAAGTATTCATGGAACTACTTGTATTTTGTAGGACACACGTTTAAGTAACACTTCCTGACTACAGTATCTGACGACAGTATCTGTTACTATAGTTGAATTATATTGAATAAAATAGTCAGCGTCTGTTGGTCAATCAATAGAATCACTTTTAAATTGTACCTCTTGATAGTTATAACATACATAACTGTCAAAAATAGCCAGCGATTGTTGCTAAATTGTGTGTTGAACACTAAACATTATTCGGTTACCGAGCTCATTACTTAAAATTGTGAACACTACTAATATTCAATAGAGCAAGAGATTTCATATGAAACCTTATTTGTAATATATTTTCTTGAGGTTGTGGGCACATATTAAATTTTAAATGATTTATATTATATGATGTATAATATAAATCATATCTTATATGATTCAAACTCATTAAAGTTAATATTATTTGTTTGAATTTGATTTAAAGTTTTTTATTTTAATTAAAATTTTTATCCTAAATTAAACGTAAGAATAAAAATTTCATTTAGGATTGGTTTTGATAAGAAATTAAAACCTAGAACTGTTTTATGTAAATCAAAATTATTAATATTATAGGGAATAATCTATAAAACCTAGTTTTTAAACTTCTTTTGTAGACAGTATATGACCAGTAAAAACAAATCAATTCCATATTGCAAAATTTTGAATTATTGTTTCCTTTATTTACATACTCGATATGAATATGAATGAGTAAAATAAAAACTTTAAAAAAGAGGTGGTATAGAAACCTATGAAGAAAGTCAAATCTCAGCTTAAGCAACAAACATTAAATCAAATTTGTATATTAAACTGGAAGCTTAATGACATTGAAGATATACAAGTCATGTACCGCCTAGGCTTATGCGTCTTATATTTGATTTCGAGCATCAAATTTGGCAAAGTAAAAAATTAATCTATAGTACTAACAATTTAGAAAGTTATAAATGAAAAATTCAATCTTAAAAAAGGACTTCCTTAGACCAATGGTAAGGGTTTTTGTCAATACTCGTAATAGTTATATAGATATTAAGAATATTCCATTAATTAAAAATAAGATTTGGTTGTTATAATTTGTTATTGTTCACCTTTTTTTACTTAGAAATATATAATTTCCTCATCATATCTAAATACTTAAATAAATTTAATTAATATGCAATAATGTTTAATAATTTGAGTATAAATAACTTTTTCCTAGAACTTCCAGGAGAAAGATGTATATGCATTATGTTTTTAATTTTTGTTTACATATAACAAATATAAAAAATAATTTATGTAGGCGTAACAATGAATAAAAACACTGACATTTCATAAAACAAAAAAAATATATATATATATAAATATATATATATATATACATATATGAAACATTTTTAAAAAGTATCTCGCGAAATAAACAAAATTTCTTAAAATAAGCAAAAAGGCATGTAAAAATATTAAGACTGACAATTAAATTGTGCGAAAGCACTTAAAATTAAAAATAAAAATCATTTAAAGGAAAAAAACTGGAACACACGTTAAAATATTAACAATGAAATATTAAAGAAAATTCATTATATCGAAAAGTTTTGACTTAGTTAGAAAGCAAATTTATCTGAAATAAAAGGGTTAGGTTTGATTTGAATTAAAAAAATGGCGTCGTATAATAATTTAGCAAATAAATAAAAATATTTTATTA